GGGGTGACTAAAGGCTTAGCCCCATCCTTTTCTAAATATCTACATGAAGCTGTTGGGGGAGATCATTCCCCAGTTTTTGTGCAGTATTATCATATTTCAATTATACCTACTTTACATTTTTGTCCCTAGTTGTTCAAATGAAACTGTCACAGTTCTGTCATAGTATTGGGATGGCTGTGAGGATCTGAATGGGGAAGAATAGACTTTAGATCCAGCCTAACAAGACCAAGTGGCTATGGGTTATTGGCCTTATCAGTCAACCTTGACTCTCAGTAGGGTTGCACCTCCTTGCTTGGGTTCAGGTCATACTTCTTGACCACATGGCTCCTATTTGAAGAGCAGGTGGCAACCATGGCCAGGGGAGCCTTTGAAAAACTTCATCTTACATGCCAACTGTGCTTGATCCTGGATCAGACCAAAAAAATAGACATCATAGAAATCTAAAACACATTTTATTGATATTGGATATAGCAATCTTGCCTATCTGAATGTGTTTCCATTCCTCCTTCTTTTATATGTCCTGTAAATTAGATTGGTTTTTGTACATATGCCTCCTCACTTGGGCTTCTGCAATATTTATTTCCTCACTAACTTAGTAACAGCTCTTCCTTGTCTCTATCAAAGTCATCCTCTTTAGTCTTTATAGGGGAGCTTCTCACAGTCATTGATGCCTCAGTCACCTCCTGATTGAATTATTGCAATGTGCTGTACATGGGACTGTGCTTGAAGACCATCTGGAAAATTCACTTGGTCCAGAATGCAATGATGTGAGTAATTATGTATGTCTATCACTTTGCCCACAAGACCTATGTACTCTGTGAGCTGATGTGGCTCCCAACAGGCTTCAAGATGCATTTTCAGGTGCTGATTACCATCTATAAAGCCCTACATGGGATAGGATTGACTACTTGCAGGGCCAACTGCTCCCAAGAGTATATATTGATATGATTTCCTTCATTGGGAAAATGTCATCTTATGGGACCCAGGTTATGTGCCTTTCTGAAACATTTCTCCACAATATAGAATTGGTCCCCACTTTAAAGACCTTTAGAAAAGCAGCTAAGATTTTTCCTTGTCCTTTGGATCAGGAGAATCAGATTTTTCAAATAAATAGTTTCTTACCATCATTTTATTTTCCTAGAAGGTGTTAATGGAATGTTTTTCTTATTATTTGTTCATCATATTTTCTTTTTGTATGCTTCTTCTTGAGCTGAGGGTTATACTAGAAGACCTCCAAGTTCCCTTCCAACTCTGTTATTCTGTTACTTCTTTATATATTTTTTCTTTATGATATTTATAAAGTTTAATAAAAATGGTGTGTTTTTTAATGACCACAGTAAAAAACGGGCTGCCAATCCAGCTGTTACTTGTCAATACAGGAGAACTACCATTTCTTTCTTTTTGCAATATACATTTCTGGTTTTGTGTAGGTGGTCTGTTTAAGCCTAATAAACATCTGTATTGAGAGTGTCAAAACAGTATATTACAATAGGCTTGTAATTCCGCTATCTGACTTCTTTTTCAGAAGTCCTATTAATATAATGAAAAAGAAATTGCCTCTAAAATAAAAAACCCTGAAAAACAATATTACTATTCATATAAACATTTTCTGTTTACAATTTACAAATACAGTTTTGCTGTTATATTGCATATGTATAAATGGAGATGTGAGAAACCCATTCAAAGCATCCTGCTAAGAGAAATCTGTTTACTGGCCAATGATTAGTTTTCCTCACACAATCTAGAAAACAGAACATCTTTTAAAAACCTGTTCCTATTTTCCCTCCTCCCGCCTCAAATACAGTAATAATTCTTAAATTGCCCATATTTACCTTTACAGACTGGAGGCTGTGGAGACCATCCAAAGTGATAACATTGTGCAGATTCAGAGCCAACTCTTGTGAATCCTGTGTCACAGTTAAAACGGACCACCATTTTATGCTGAAATACGTTCTCTCTTGGATCAATTGCGCCATTTTCCAAAAATGGAGCATGACATACAAATGCTATACAAATGTTGAATTAAATAGAATAAGGTGATTTCAGAATGAAACTGCTTGCCAGAAGGCTTGAGGCACTTATGCTTATATATAAAATAAACACGATTTTATATTCCTTACATGAGTTCTACTATACATTCCTCAGAATTTGCCAGTATTATACTGGAGTGGAGTGGTGGTGCTGATTGTCATCTGGAATCCCTTATGGCTTTTGAGAGGTGTGAAACCCTGTTCATTAAACTGCCCTCTAGGGATTAACTGGGATTGTTGCTATTGTTCCTTCTGTATAATATCCTCCTTGCCTGAGCTCTTTCATTCCGTTTCTAGGATGGCAGTGTAGTTCCCCAGACTTCAGAGGACTTCCATTTCCCTTCTCTAGGAGTGGAGTCGGAGGTCTCAGGAGTTCATGCCCATCTTGATGATCATGGGCTTAACCAGAGTCCAACATGGGATAATGATCACACTCCAGATCTGGTTTCCTGTTGGAGTTGTGGCTGTCATCTGAAATTGGGGGAGCTTTCAGTGTCTTAGATCACACCCTGATTACCATGGGATTTTGTAGTGCCACTATGGATCCATTAGATTGGGCACTGGATATATAGGTTTTGGGGGAGCTGGATTATCAAGTTTTATGAAACTAAGAATCTTGTGATTAATCTTTAAAAATATTTCTCAATAAATCAATTTGATTTGTACATATACATCCATCAAAATAAATATCAATATCAAGTAGGTTAGGTCGAATAAGGAGTTTGATCTAAACAATAAAAAGCTGCTTTAACAATATTTCAACAGATATTAAACTTTGCATTGTTCACCCCAAAGGTGCTTTTCAGGAGGCAACTGGAGTTTCAGTTCAATACAAATGATATCTTGGACATTGGACTCCATTGCATTTGTATAGAAAAGAAATGGGTAAATTAATCTATTATCAGAGATTAAATCAGACTATATTTCAATGAAACATGTTTTTGCAATGCCTAAAATCATTAAAGTAGGTCATGTTATTCGTGGTGTTTTCCATCTTAGGATTTGTCCTAGGGTTGCTTGTTTCTGTACTGTGCTTGCCTAGTCACACAGTAAAGCTGTCAATGCACAATGTGATGAGGAGTTTTGTTTTTCAGTCAGCTTGTCTCAAAGCCCGATGCTTATTGGTCCAAGGTCACCCAGCTACTTTCTGAATTGAGAGGAAGATTTAAAACTGGATTTCCCCTGCACTTAGTCCAGTATCATTACACCCTGCTGGCTCTCTCTGACATAGACTGTGGGTGGATGATTATAATGAGATATGCTTATCCTTTTTATTATTTATATTATTTTTTATGTTTTTTATTTAAAATCTGTGAATATATGATAAATAGATGATTATTGAGAAAGTTATAGCTAACATTTAGAAATTACTGGAAGAACAAATGGGAGAAAATTAAATATATGATCTTGAATTATTCTACTTTTTTAAAGTTTCTATTTGAAAAGCCAATTTCTGGAAAATAATTTAGGACTATAATACTTTTGAGTATACCCAAGTGTAAATGCAACATTATGGAAATCATCAGGAAAATATTCTTGATGAACTGATTTAGACAATGGGATTATTAGACTGGTGTTTCATTAACTTACCCACACATCTAGGAGGAGTAGGTTCCCATCCTTCCTCAGTGCACACCACGGTGTCACTGATGCTATTTTTAGTGATTTCAAACCCCTCTTTACATTCATAGTGAAGTACATCTCCAGGTAAAAAAACAGGCTTAGTTGTGTTGAAGATAAAATTATCTGCAGGTGGCTTTAAGCATGTCCCTGAGGAATCAAAGAGTGGATATTATTAATGTCTCACTGTTCTTTTCTCATGAGTCTAAGTTGTAAGCTCAACAATTCTCACCAAAGAATGACCTCTTAGGTATAGGCCCATGCACAAAGCAAATGATGAGTTGCTATAAATAGGTTCTCACTGCTTCACGCTAGTGATTTTGGCAAACATGGTTAGTTGCTTTTCAACCAGGTCAGGAGGTCACATTAGACAATTTGATCTTCCAGATTGGTTCACTGGCCCTTTCATGATTCTAGCATCTGAACACAGATGCATAGTTTTTCAGGAGTGTGCTGAAGTTGTGGCTATCTAAGGTACTGCAGACAGTTGTTCTGTGAGCACTTTGTGTTTTTCAGCAGTTTTTGCTTTTGAATCTGAACTAAATTTTGTCCTTACTATATGTTGTGCAGAGAACATGGCAGATGCTCAACAGGTTTTCTTGCCATTTTACCAGTTTAAGGAGATATAACTTTCTGTGTAAATGCAAACTCCATAATATATGTTTTCTGTTTGTATCTATAGGATATTTTGTGATATGGCATAAGCTCTTGGGAGGACAGGAAATAAAATGCAAATTCTACAAACTGTTATATTTACAATAAAAGTGTACACATATTTAGGTTACAAGTTATTTTTTCAAATCATGATCAAATACAGTCATTTTATACTATAAGTCTATAGTTAGACTTCTTGAAGAGCTACATTTACAAATGTTTATGATATTAGGCTACTCTTCACTGAACAAGATTCCATGTTGTTGTCTATGCCGGGGCTTTTCAACCTTTTCACCCATTGTACCACTTTTAGGATATGGCAATATCCGAGTACCACCAGTCGCCTAGCAAGGTGTCAAAACTTGACCAAAAAAAAAGGAAAAAAGTGATAAAGTAGAGGTAGTCCTCGACTTACAACAGTTCACTTAGTGACTTACAATGGCACTGAAAAAGTGCCCCCCAAGCCACAGCCAAGCAAGACATCTGCCTGCCCACCCAGCGGTGCTCTTCCTCCTGTCTGAGGTTTCCATTGTTGTGAGCATTTTGGTTGAGGATTGGTAGCAGGGGTGGGGTGAGGGGGTGTTTGGTTTTTATTTTCCCCCATCTGCTGGGTGGTTGCAGCAGGTTTTGGTCACTTCACATGACCCTGGGACACTGTGACCATCATAAATACAAATCAGTTACCAAGCATCTGAATGTAAATCACAAGACCCTGGAGATGCTGCAACATTCCAGCTGATTGGCGCTTCTTCTGGGCTCAGCAGAAGCGCCAAGATCAGCACTGAGCTCCAGCTGGAGCCTGGTGTAATGATGTAATGATCCTGGTGCTTCCACTGAGCCCTGACAGCCCTGCAGCTCCAGCCATCTCTCGCTCAGGCTTGTGCGGTGCTGCCACCGGTACAGCTCATTCCCCTCCCCTGTTACCACTTTTCTAGGATGGTCGCGTACCACCTGCCAGGTGCCAATGTACCACAGGTGGTACCCGTACCACTGGTTGAAAAGCCCTGGTCTATGCCAGTCAGTTTCAATCTATCTTCCAATGGAATTGTATTTACTTACTGATACATTCTGGCTCTGGGCTCCAGCCCTCTGTAAGGCACTGTGTATCTACCTCAGTCTCTCCTTTTGAGGTTGTATAGCCATCCTGACAAATATATCTTGCTTTATCATTGATCTGAAAACTCTGTTGCTCCGGTACAAAACGCCCATGGAATAGAGGAACCTTACAGGTGCGTTCAACTTCTAATGGAAAAAGGAAATATAACATGTAAACTCTTCTGTTAATAAAATGTGAATTCTTTATAAAATACCTGGGAAACCAGTGGAGCCAGAGGAAGAATGCCTCTTTTCAAATAAATGGGCTAAGAGACTGTTAAGAAAAGCTGTATACAATACATTGGGAAATCCATAGGCAGATTGAGTGGGGAAATTAATGTATCTGATTAGGCAGATTCACGGCTGTCTTTCTTATAGAAACTTAAGGCATCTAATTTGCCCTTTAATTGTATAAAATAAATCTTACTGCCATATAAGCTATATGTATTCCATATTTTAGTAGTCAGATCTCAGTCTGTATTGGTATTGCTATATGTGGATTATGGGCTGCAGGTTCTCACTTCTTTTATCCTCTATTTTGCTCCAAATCCCTTGGAGTTTAATGGGTGACAGTACCAGGAGATTTGGAGTTTAATCCTTTTAGGATGCTGTTAGCACCCAAATTTATTAATCTGCAAGATCTCTAGGGTTTCTTGAAATTGCTATGGAAGGATAAATGAAGAATAATAAATTGTAGCTGAATCCAGGAAAGATGGGAATATTCAAGGAGAGTATTCAAAACTCCAGCTCTACATTCTATTCCAGATGGAGTTACAGTGCCCCGTCTCAAAGGAAACCACATTCGGCCTGGGGTTTTCAATCCCTAAAACTGTAAGGATATATTTCAGCTATGCAGGGTGACACATAATAGTAATAACATGATACATTTCAACATTGGCGTGAGCAGAAGAACAAGTTATATAAGTTAGTGGGATGCTACGTTACAGCTTCACGGTCAATGAAGACTCAATCAACTAGGCGAAATGTGTCTAAAGGTTTACTATAAACAACTAACGGAAAAATGAAGGCCAAACCTTTAGTCCCCATTGAGTCCCCATTGACATATTGCAACTCATTTTGGGGAGAAACCCCTAAAACTGGTGTTGTGTAGTGGGAACAGCGAGGCATTGAAGACATGGAGTTGAAATAACAGCTCTTTATTAAGTTCTCACAGAAGCAGCTCTAGCAGCTGCTTGACTCATATTTCTACGGACCGCCACTAGGCGGCAGCCAAGCAATTTAAAGTATGCATTCCGGCCTAAAACAAAGGTTTAGACAGACAGTCTATGATTCAAATTGAACAATTAGTTAACCGTTTTTTATAACAGACCTTATGAAGTGGTTTAATACATAACAGTTGGTATGGCAAGAGTTGTTACATTACAATGCCTCTCTGACTCTCTGCCTAACTAATTTTGCTCTGACTAATGAAGTTGTTTGGATGAGCAATGAAATATCTTAAATTAACAAAGTTTGGCCCAGTTGCCATGATTTAACCTTTAGACACAATACAGCTTCATTGACTACATTTAGGGGAATGTCATATTTTAAGACTTTTCTGAAATTGTGAAAGTATTTGGAGCACAGACCTAATTCTTTTTATGCAAATGTACACACACACACACACACACACATTGAAGTTTTAAAAATGTGCTAGATGCATTCAATTGTTTTAGTTGCAAAATATTTGTTAAAATGTATTATCATGTAATGTTGATGTTTACTACTGTTTATTTTACTGGTCCTTGATAATTGCCATTTATTTATTCATTTATTTTTATATTTGTATATTGCCCAATACTCAACAATTTTTAGTGGGCCTTAGATCTTCATTGGAGACAACCCCAAATCCCCTTTGCACATCAAAACACATCAATAATGAATAAAATGAAAACAATGGTTAATTGTTAACCATACACACACACACACACACACACACACACACACACACACATATACAGGCATACATACAGCAAAGCATGATAAGCAATTTCAGGTCAAGCAATTTTAGCTGACAGTCCTACAGTTTACCTGTTACGATACATCTTGGAGGAGGTGACCACCCCATTTTTGTGCAAGTGACTGTTGACTGCTGGTTTGCAGGAGAATATCCCCTACTACAAGCAAATGTAATGTTGTCACCTTCTATGTACGTGTTCCAGTAATAATTAATGAACTGACCATAATAAATATATTGAGAAGGATCACATGCTCCTGAAAGCAAAAAAGAGCAACTTGGTTTTATCTTTTATGTTTCTTGGAAGGCAATTCATACAATGCATGATATCTAGTTCACAGAGATGACAAAGAACTGCAGTATAAGGCACGGTTAGCTGCGCAGGAATTTATGCACAGAAAAATTGTTCAATTGTTCAAGCCGATATGTTGACTAAGCCTTTAAATGCTGGCAAGCATCAATATAAAAGCATTTGGATTAACAGCTGTTTAGCTTTAAATGGGTGCAGTATCAAGGTATTGATTTATTAGCTAACCAGCTTATGTAATGCTGTATGAAGATGTAATGATGTATTGTAATTTAAGAGGTAAGATGTAATGATGGGAATGACTCAGCAGGGTCTGTGTTCCTTTAAGAGCTGTGTATAAAGGGAAGGTTTTACTAGTGTGTCTTTCTCTCTCTTCCGTTTCCTGCTGTAATTGTGGTTTGCTGGATCCTGCTGTACTAGCATGTGTATGTATATTGTTCCTGGTGTATGATATTGTAGATAGTGTAAGATAAACCACCTTTTGATACAAACCACTATTTACTGTATTTACTCCTGAGTTATCTTGCACAATAAGACTGCATGCTCTGACATAATTCACAGAGATGACAAGATATGAAGAAAGGAGGAAACTGATGAGGAAGAACCCTAGTTTTCTGTTTATATTTTATAAAAGACTCAGCTTTTACCTCTCTCATTTAAGGTTTCAGTACACCTTCTTTTGCAAACTGTAGGCTTCAGAACAACCCTTGAGAAAGACAGCAGTGGAAGCAAGCAGAAGAACCAAGCAGAAATCTCTATAGGATGCTACTTCTTCAAAGGTAAAGCAAGGTCAGGATAGCATCTGGCCTGTTTTGCTTATACTTGGCAATATCTACTGCAAAGAGGAAAGAATTACTCACTGAAACACTTTGGTTCTGGGACCAAGCGGGAATCAATGCATGTAGCTGTTTGCCATCTATTCTGTTTGTTTGCAGGCAGAAAACCAGGAGAGCAAAGAAACTGAATTGTTTGTTGCTGCCGTATTGGAAATGGTTTGTACCGTTCAAAATTTCCATTTTCTATGCGTATATAGTCACAAACCTTTGCTGCAGAAAAGAGATAGAAAAAAATAAACTAAGGCACCCCCAAAATTCAGAATATTCTATTAGTTTATTTGCTTTGCTTTAGTCTGAGCTACCATCAGAGATGAACCTGTTATTAAATGTTGTTCTTCTAGTGCAATAGCAGAATCTGACTGGGATTTCTGCCCTGGATCTGAAGAGAGGGACAGAGTGACAATGAGTGAAGGAGGAATAAAAGGCCCTTATTTCTTCTGCTTACAGTCAGTGAGGGCTCTGAGGAGAATGGAGTGGTGTTGATTTGACATCTTCAATCTTATACTGTAAAATGGGAGTGAACTTCTTTCTACCTTCCTGTTTTATCACTGCACAGTGACTTATTCAAGCATTATCATTCTTGCTGTTATTGTCTTTATATTTTCATCCTGCCTTTTCATAAATGAGTCAAGGCAGCAAACATAGCTAATTATTCTAGCTTCGATTTTCCCCACCACAACCACCTTGTGAGGCGAATGGTGCTGAGAGAGTGTCAGGCCCCAAATCACCCAGTGGCTTTCCTGCCTAAGGTGGGACTACAATGTACAGATTCCTGGTTTCAAGGCTGGCACCTTTAAGATTACACCTAACTGGCTCTAGAGCAGTGATGGCGAATCTTTTAGAGACTGAGTGCCCAAACTGCAACCCAAAACCCACTTATACATCGCTGAGTGCAGGGTGGGTATGGCCCATTGGCTGGGTGTGGCCCATTGGCTGGGTGTGGCCAATTGGGTGGGCATGGCCAATTAGGTGGGCGTGGTTGCAGTGGTAACGGCAGACTGGGTGGGATTAAAAAATTCAATCAATCAATTCCAACTTTGCAAGTTCTTTTTTTTCCCGTGAGAAGTTGAAATTGACTGATTGAACCCTTTTTTTTTTTCACACGGTGGCGGAGGCATAAAGCGAAAAGGTTTTATAAAACCAAGCTGAAGGCCTAGGACTGGGCCGACGTTGAGCGTGCCCACAGAGAGGGCTCTGAGTGCTGCCTCTGACACCCGTGCCATAGGTTTGCCACCACTGCTCTAGAGTATAGATTTAGTGAACAGTATTAAGTGAGAAGTAAGAAAGAAGTAGGTTTGTAAAGCTTTTTGAATAATACAAGCCTTCTTAGAAATACAGGTAAGGTAACATTGTTGGAGATCTGCAACATTTTCAAAACAGCTCACTCACAATGTGCAGGACTTTCTGTGCTTTCCTGCATAAATTGATTCTACTCAGTAACCTTGGGCATATCATTGCTAAGTAGAGGCTTAGATTTCTAAAATTATGCCTCTAAGCTTCTCCTCGCTCCAGCTGTTACTCATGGTTAGCTGTTTTCTCGTAATCTCCTGCATTCTAGTATAAACCTGCACCTCTTTGTTTTTGAAATAATTTGCCAAGGCCATCTACTAGTGATTAATAGTGGTGAATGGGGTCAGGGAGGGACAAGGTTCAGCTCACAAGCAAGAACTTTAACAATCACATGTGCATAATTAGAGGCATGAATTATTGCAGTAGAATAGTATATAAACAGCAAAACCCTTCCTAGGAATGAAGTTCAGCTGATGCGTACAGGCATTGCTTTTGATGAAACCTGCATAAGTGTGCTTTTCATCTCTTCCAGGGGGATTTGATTTTTGATATACTGTATTCAGTGCTTCATCCCTGTTTAACTTATATTGTACTAAAGCCAGCCTGCTCAGACATCTTTTGATTGGCCCGCCAAATCCTACAATACTAAATGATCATGGATTCTGATAATATTCATCACCAAGGATATTTTCTACAAGGTTTGCATAGGTAATAAGCCTTGCTCCTAAAAAAAAAAGCTTTCCTCAGCTAATATTTTAAGAAATGTCTCTTTCTAGTTAAAAAACTCAATACTTTATTTCATCGAGAAAATTTGTGTATCCTTTTCCCTAAGTCTTTTTTCCTTCACCCTCTTGAAAACTTCCATATTCCTTCCATTCCCCATTTAATCAAAGTTAAGTTCTCCAACTTATGATTTTGTTTCTATTTTTGCAGTTGTTGCACTTATGTGCTAGCAAATTTTACTGCATATGTACTTATAGGGTTATATATATTCTGTGGTTCTCCCGAAGCAAAGATACCCTCCTAACAGTTTCTTGAGGACGTGAGTACACACCATTCTGCTCAAACTAGTACTGGCCTGTTCTATTCTCGGTGAAAAGGCATTGAGATGAGGCAGGAGTAACAACAGTCTTCTCTTTATTCAATATCCAACAGAACCAAAAACAAAATGGTGTGGATTCCTTTTATACCCCTTTGCAGGGACAGTGTCAGCCAATCAATGCAACGTATTTCTCCCACCTTGCACATGCGCAATAGGCTGGAGACAGCCTGTCTGGTCCCGGACATCCACGTGGACTGCCCGGGCCTCTCTGCAGCTTCCTGCACCTGCTGAGTCACTCAGCAGGCCCAGGACATAATACCCCTCCCCTCTTATTTCAAAACATAGTACTTAATATTTTACAATACTACAAATCTAATACCTTGTCAATCCTTTATCCCCAACACAGTGATACATACCATTTTGCATTACTATAATCGAACACGTTCTTTTGAGCATGTTCTGATTTCCAAGTACCCCTTAAACCTGCCCACCTCCTGACAGGAATCTTACATAATCCTGTAAGTGCTTGGGTGGACTTCTGGCTCGCTCTGACTTTTTTGGAGTGGTTGTGATTGCCTGGCCTGCAAGCTCACCTGCCAGCCTTCGCAGACCAGGACTTTGATGCCCCCTAGATTCAGGCGACCCTCCATCTTGCTGACTGGCCGGATCCTGTAAACCCAGACCAGAGTTCCTTGGTGGGGTGGAATTCCCCAAGTCCACAATGGACCCCTCTTGGGACCACTGTCCCGTGAGCCCAAGACCAGCAGATGGAGTAGCCTGAACAGCCGGTTGCAAGCAATGTCCCATGGACCCGGTGCCAGTGCCAGAGTCAGGAGTCGCCTCATTGGCAAAAACCCCTACTGGTGCCTGTGAAGTTCTGCTTTCGCAGAGAGACTGCGGTCCACGATAGTAATCATGGTCCTCCTCCCCCCTGAGAGCAGTCAGGAGTGGAAGTGTGGCTGGGAAGCCTCCAGCATAGTTGGTCGATATGTTGACGGAGCACACGACCATCATCCAAGGCCACTTTGTATGACAGCAGCCCAGTGACTTTGCAGACCACTGCTGTCACCCAGAGATGTCCAGGTCCATAGTTCCTTGCCCAGACTGGATCGCCCACCTGTAGTCTCCTAGGTGCCCACGGCTGTGACACCTGTGAAGCCACCCGGTCTGGGTGCAACCTCTCCAGTTTTGTAATGAGTCTGCGACCCCAGTGGAGTTTAGCTGGGCTCTTTCCAGTGGCTGTGCAAGATGTGGTGCAGTGGCAAAGAAGAAAGTCAACTAACCTGTGATGCCAGCTTCCGTGAGTGATCCTCTTTAATGCATCTTTGGTTGTGCACACCATACGCTCAGCTTGACTGATGGACACTGGATGAAATGGAGCTGATGTGGCATGACAGATCATGTTGGCCTGTAGGAAAGCCTGAAACTCAGAAGAAGTGAATTGGGGTCCGTTGTCGGAGACAAGGACATCTGGAAGCCCATGAGAGGCGAAGATCCTTCTCAACACCTGGATGGTCCTGGCAGTAGTAGTGGAGGAAACTGGAATGACCTCTAGCCACTTGTCCATGAGGAGAAGGAATAATTGCCCCTGAAAGGGGCCAGCGTAGTCGATATGAACCCTTGACCAAGGGGCATGTGTCTCCTCCCACCTATGTACAGGAGCCTGAGGCATTTCAGGCTAGACTGTTGGCAAACACTGCACCCGTGGACCTGGGCCTCGATCTCTTTATCGAGCCCAGGCCACCAAAGATGGCTGCGCGCA